TTGCTGCACTGCTCCAAGGTTGTGGTGAGACTCTGAGAAGGAGTTAGAAAAGACAGAGATAACAATGGGCACGGTGAAGAGGGAGAGCGATCCAAAGAGAGAATGGACATCCATGTAGGGTAAATGGACTAAGCAATGCGTCACGAGGAAGAGTGAAGAAGTGCCTGGCATCGTCTTCTAGATTCTGTACATGTGAATGTCTAAGAGTTTTCCATCTGGTAATATGGACTGTTACCTGCACACCTACCCGGAGTTTATGCCCTAATTCAGGGGATCTGTATATACCCTGAGAAGTTACATACACTCTCACAGCCATGCACATACACACATGAGCGTGCACAAACACACATGCACAATCAGAAGCAGAATCTATGTTCCACTAACACGCCTTGGGCATGTCTCCCTGAAACTTTGTCTTCTCCATTTTTCCTGCCAGGAGGCCTGCTCAGTGGTTGTGAACTCCTTGCTACAGGGGCCAGCATAATGTAAATGTGTGTTGAGCATATGATGCTAAATGGCAACAGGCACTGGTCTTCTGTGTCAGGGAGACACAGATAAGGGCTGCCTGAACTGGAGCAGCTTGTTGCCCATCCTAAGAGAGTAGCCGCCACCCAGCTGCATTTGTTGCCTATTGGTTTCCTAATGGAGGCTGTAAGAAATTGCTACAAACTTAATAGCTTAAAACAACGCAAATTTATTATCTCACAGTTCTGGAGGTCAGAAGTCCAAAATTGGTCTTATAGAGATTGCAGTATTATGATTTAAAAGAAAACAATATATATGGTTACTCAGATGACCAAAATATATTTCTTATATATTATTTGGTGTTTGTCCACTCCTCCCGGCTCACAGTTCCCCAAACCCTGAGAATTCCCTAAGTGTTGAGAGTGATCAAGGTGTCTTTTGTTATGTTAATGAGGTGACTTTTGGACCCACCTAAGGAGGGGGGATGCTTGCCAGTGGAGCCAACTGAGTGATTAGAGGGTTAGAAATTTCAGTCCCACCACCCGCTTCTGACCTCCTGAGAGGGGCGGGCAGCTGGAGATTGAGTTCAATTACCAATAGTCAATGATTTAATCAGTCGTGCTTATGTAATGAAGCCTCCATCCAAACTCAAAAGGATGGGGTTTGGAGACCTTCCAGATGGTGGACACATGGAGGTGCTGGGAGAGTGGCGCTCCTGGCGCTATGGAAGCTCATGCCCTTTCCCCGTACCTTGCCCTCTGCATCTCTTCCATCTGGCTGCTCCTGGCTTATATCCTTTTATAATAAACCAGTGATCTAGTAGGTAGAATGTTTCTCTGAACTCTGTGAGCCTCTCTAGCAAATTAATTGAACCCAAGGAAGAAGTAATGGTAACCTCCAATTTATAGCCGGTCAGTCAGAAAGACAGGTAACAACCTGGACTTGTGATTGGTATCCTGAATTGGAGGGGGCTGTTGGAACTTCCAATTTGTAGCTGGTGGGTCAGAAGCATAGGCACCAACCTGGGCTAGCGACTGGCATCTTAAGTGGGGAGTGGGTGACAGTCTTGTAGGACCAAACCCTTAATCGGGGAATCTGATGCTATCTCCAGGCAGAAAGTGGCAGAATAGAGTTGTTTTTTGTTTTTTGCGGTACGCGGGCCTCTCACTGTTGTGGCCTCTCCCATTGCAGAGCACAGGCTCCGGACGCGCAGGCGCAGCGGCCATGGCTCATGGGCCCAGCTGCTCCGTGGAATGTGGGATCTTCCCGGACCGGGGCACGAACCCATGTCCCCTGCATCGGCAGGCGGACTCTCAACCACTGCGCCACCAGGAAGCCCTGAGTTGTATTCTTGAACACCCTGCTGGTGTCTGAGAATTGCTTGGTGGTGTGTGGGGAAGCCCCCTGCCCCGCACACTGGAATTGGAAGCCTGTTTAGGGATAAACTCAAGGTGTTGGTATGGCTGTCTTCCTTCTAAAGACTCTAGAGGAGAATATGTTCCTTGCCTTTGCCATCTTCTGCAGGCTGCCCACATTCCCTACCATGGCTTCCTTTCATCTTGAAAGCCATCACTCTGACCTCTCCTTCCCTGACTCTGACTCTCCTGCCTCCCTCTTCCATTCATAAGGACACTTGTGATTGCTTTGGGCCCACCCAGAAAATCCAGAATAATCTCCCATCTCAAGACCTTTACCCTAATCACATCCAAAAAGACATGTAAGGTAACGTAGTCACAGATTCCAGGGATTAGGATGTGGACATGTAAGGTAACATAGTCGCAGATTCCAGGGATTAAGATGTGGACATCTTGGTGGGGAGCTATTCCGCCTATCACAATTGCTAAATGGGAATGCAGGCCTAGAATAGTCATATCTTCCAATTCTTTTCAAGATAAGCTGGAAATCTGGATTTTTACATGATCGTGCAGAAAAGAGTTAACATAGCAGAACTGAGACTTAGAAAGGCCTGCTCGCAAGGTTGGCCCTTGGCTGGCATCTGGGAACTTGGCTCTTAGAGTGCGCCCAGTCAACAGCTAACTGATAAGGATGGTTCATTGTGCCTAGATGGTGTGTGTAAACGATATGATTTATGCTGAACACCTACTTTTCTTCTAAAGAGTCTGGAATTTTGGTAAGTGCAAGGCAGAGGTGCCTATGCAACAAGACCCCACTAAAAACCTTGGGTGCTGAGTCTCTAACGGGCTTTCTTGGGCAGAAACACTGCAGGGAAACGTTGTCTCATTTTCATTTTGGAGGAAGAGTACACTGTGTGAGCTCTTATGGGAGGGAGAGGGCATAGATTCCTTCAGACTCTGCTTGTGTCTTTTCCCCTTATCATCCAGTTGTGTATTGTTCCTACATCACTGTAAGAAACCTTAGCTGTGAGTACAAGTTTATGCTGAGTCCTGTGAGTCTGTCTGGCAAGTCTCCTAACATAGGGGTGGTCTTTGGGGATGGCCCAAAGACAATTCCTGATTTTTTTCATATTCTAAATGCTATGGGGGTTAACACTGTGGGCGAATTTGGCCTCCAGGCTGCTAATTTGAAACTTCTGACTTTTTAGAGTTTCACCTTAATTTTAGTCCCATCTCTGTAGTGAAAAAATTCACCTGACACACACTTAGCAAATCTTTACCACATGCTAAGTGCCATACTAGGAGCTACGGACACAAAAGTGAATAAGACACAATCCTTACCTTCAACAAGGTCGCTATCTAATAAGATGGGCGTGTACAAGAATAACTGCAGCATGATGTGCTACACACGCTAAAATAAATGAATAAAATGCTCTAAGAGTCCAGACAACTGCATACACGGTGCTTTGCTGTGTATGTACACATCCCTCAGTTCATCTGGTCCTCACAATCCGAAGTTATTATCCCAGTTTTACAAAGAAAGAAGCTGAACCTGAAGGGCAAATAGGTTTTGGATTTTGCCTAAGATAGCGCAATCTTCTTAAAATATTCATTCTGTTGGGGTTGGGGTGCACAAGGAAAAAAGAGGGCCAGGGAAGGTCTGCAAGAGGCCGTGTGTTCTGTAATCACCAAGGCTCCTTGCTCTGTAGAGACCATGACCCCATTTCCCAAAGCAGCCTCATTGTATGCCCTTGCCAGTTTTCTTTTTAATGAATGAGTCTTGTTCTCCCAACCATATGGTTAGTCTACTGGGAAAAGAGACCTTGTCATATTTCACTGTATTCCTTTCCATGCCTTGCCTAAGTAAGGTGTCGATTAGCTATTTTGTTGGTAGAAAGTTGCCATTGCTAGTTATTTTATCCTGATGTGTTGTTCTGTCAGGCAGCTCTGGCCCTAGGAAACACTCTGATAGGAGAGGCAGGTGAATCCTTTCTAAGTGACTAGCCTGGGAGACAGGTTTCTTAATGTGACCAATAGGCACATAGGGCACTTCTGATGATTTCCCCAGTGAAGGGAGACAGCTAGAAAATGTAAGGCATGCAAGGGAAAGCAGAAGTAGATTGAAAAGCCCATTCTTGCAAGAAATGGAAATGAAACGTAAAAAGGAATAGCTTCAGCTGAGACCTCCACCTGAGCTCTGAGGGCGTTGAGATGCATGTCGCAGATCCTGCCTATGGCTTAGGGACAGAAGAGGGTGGGGAAGTCAAAATCAGCCATGATATCTGAATCTCCATTTCCTTTTTTCCTCTTTGGAGTCAACAAACGTTAGGATACCTCACAACAATGCTTTCTGGGGGTGGAATCATTGTCTCACCGGTGAAAATGCCAAGGACTCAGTGAGGTTAAGTCACTTGCCCAAGGTCACATAGGGCAGTCAAGATGCGAATCCAGGTACTGAGGGCTTCGGTCCAGAGCTCAGGCAGTTCTGGCAGCAGGAAAACGGGCAGGTGACGATGGCGAGGGCCGGCTAATAGTGACGGCGCTGATGACGGGGCCACTGACCGGCGGGTAGCCTGCGAGCCGCAGGAGATTCCGGGGGTCGGCCCTCGCAGACAGACTGTGGGGCTCGGCTCCGCGGAGCAGCCTAAGGGATCGGCAACCTGGGGCTCAGGCTGTGCAGCTCCTGGTCCTCGGCCGCCCACGGGCGTTGGCGAAGGCCAGCCATCCCGGCCGGGGACCAGCAGGCCGCTTGCAGCCGCAAGGGGTTCCTGGGGGACAGGCCAGAGCCAGGCAGTTGGCCGGAGCCTCCAGGGAGGCGGGTCGGGGAGGGCACCGGCGAAGGCTGGCTACAGCCACTTCGGATAAACAGTCTCTACAGCACCCGCCCTAAGTCAGAACACCTGAGCCACAGGCGCCCCCATGACGCAGGTGGCGAGACTCGTCCTGGCACTGCGCCCTGCGTCCCAACAGCGGAGCTCAGGAGCTCTGAGTGTCGGCTCAAAACCCGGAGCGAAGGGTTAAAGCTCCGGTCGCTACCCCTAACCCACGCGGGACAGGTGAGGGACGGGGGCACGCCAGGGGGAGGGGACTCGCCCTGGCCCCACCCCTCCGGGCCGCCTATCTTTTGGGGGCGTGCCCTATGGGCTGCCCAGCTCCTAGTGGGAGGTCGGAGCGCGTGGGCCCGCCCCCCGCGTATAAGAGCGGTGCGGCACTGCAGCTAGCGCAGTTCTCACTGAGACCCGTCACCCGGACTCTACGTGAGACCCACCGCCTGGACTCACCATGGTGAGTGCGGCCCTGCCGGCATCTCGCTCGTCCCTTAATTGCCCCTCTTCTTCGGGGAACCTCCCTCCCGGGATGCTCGGAGCCCTCCATCCGAAGTTCCTGGTCTCGAGGAGTTGGCGGGGGAGTGGGGTGGGGGGGGTGGGGGGGTGCATTTCCCCCACCCCACCCCCTCCCGGTGACTTTGGCTGAGCCACGTTGTCCACTTTCGGAGGCTGGGGAAGGGAGTGGAGTGGGGTGGGATTCTTCACGAGCAGAGAGGAGTCCTCCTGGAATCCGCTCCTGCTCCACCAAGCATTTTGTGCCCTAATTCTCCTGAGGGGAGTCACGCGGTCCCGTGCCCAGTCCTTTCCGCCGGCGAGGAGACCCGCTCGGCTGCCCTCCGCCCCTAGCCTCCCCCTCACTTCCCGGTCCCCGGAACTGACCAAACACGTGCTTGGCGCAAGAAGGTGGAGGGGGTCAGATTACTTGGTGCAGCATCCCCCTTTCCTCCGACTGTGTGTGTATCCCTCCTACCCACAGTCCCCTGTGACTCAGCACCCCTCTTCTGATCCTGGAGGGGTGGCGAGAATGGGGTTCAGCCTAGTCAGGCGAGCCGGATTCTCTCCAGCCGGAATCAGGGTGCACGGACGGGCAGAGACAGCTGGCGCTGAGCGAGAGTGCGGCCGGGGCCAGGTTGGGGGGAGGGGAAAGAGGTGTGTGTAGGGGGGTGGTATTTATAGCCTAGGGACCGGGACCGAAATCCAATCCTCGCTTTCCGCCGGGATGTAACTGGAAAGAATCTAGAAAGGGGGGGGGGGCGAATGCAGGGCCAAGGTTCAGGATGGCGCTCACCCTGCCCAGGGCAAGGCGGTTACCTCTGGGGCCTCACCGCAGGTTCCGCTTCCTTTTCTGGGTATTTGGAAACCGTCACCCCGCCATTTCGGTCTCGAAAAGGGAGGCTGCGCCGGCCCTGCGTGGCACCACTTTGGCTCTTCAGAGGTTAATTTCACACTGGCAGGGATGAGCCTAGGGCAGCGAGTGCCCCAGTACCCACAACCCGTATTGCCTGCGCCTGCCGTCTTTTGCTCTCTGCAGTCTCGGTGAGGGCTCCGCAGTGGACGAAGGTGGTGAAGACACCCAGGGTGTGGGGGTGGAGGTGACGAGCGCAGCCAGACGGGCTTGAAAGGCGGTGGGGGGAGGGCATCCTGCTGGCCAGCGTGGTCAGTTGACGCCTGGCTGGAAGGCTGAGACACCTCTGCAGCCCGCAAGAATGAAAGGGGGAGAGGGTTATACGAAATACTAGTTGTTCCATCCTCAGAGCAAAGAACTAATCAAGCTGGGAACCTCTAGCTATAAATTCATAGCTCCGGAAAACCTTCTGCCCCTCCTCAGGCTCTTGAGAAGCTGATTTGTGGGAGTAGGGATTGGGAACAGCTGAAAAATCGCTTGTCCTTGTCTCAGTTACTGCAGTGTCTGCCTGTCTCATACGCACTTGCCCTCTGCGTCCTCCCTGAGTGTCCTGTGAATGTAGCAGGGTCATGTGGAGCCACAGCTCTTACTTGACAAGGTCCCAACGGAGAAGTAGGCTGAGGGACTGGCCTGCCCTACTGGGTGCCTCCAGTTGGAAAGTCCTATGCAGGGGAGCCTGGGCAGGCTGCCAGCCTCTTTGACCTCTGCCCAGCCCCAAGCCTCCACTTTTGCCAACTGAGTGATCCTAACTGGTAGGTGATAGGGTGGGAGAGAGGCTCATGAGGTAAGGACTTATGTATGTGGAGCTTATGCCATGTCCCCTCTCTTTATCCTTCAGCGTGAATGCATCTCTGTCCATGTGGGGCAGGCAGGTGTTCAGATGGGCAATGCCTGCTGGGAGCTCTACTGTCTGGAACATGGGATTCAGCCAGATGGGCAGATGCCCAGTGACAAGACCATTGGTGGAGGGGACGACTCCTTCACTACCTTCTTCTGTGAAACCGGCGCTGGAAAGCATGTGCCCCGGGCAGTTTTTGTGGATTTGGAGCCCACTGTAATCGGTGAGAGGAAGAGAGGGTGGAATTGAGGGGATGGAAAGTGACTCTAAGCTTCTCTCTGGAGAGAGGGTGTGTAGACCTGGCTTTCCTGGCCCTAAAAACCCCTTGCCCTGCTGGAAGCTAAAGAAGGCAAGCTGATTGCAGGCTGGCCTGGGCAGCAGGTCTGGGTTTCCCACACACACTGGTATCTCAGGCTGGCAGAAGGATGAGCTCTTCCATACATCTGACCACAGTTACCAGGCTGGGGGAGGGAGGTACGTGCTGAGCACAGCCTTGTGGTTTCTGCCCTAATGATGTGGTTTATGCCCTTCCAGATGAGATCCGAAATGGCCCATACCGACAGCTCTTCCACCCCGAGCAGCTCATCACTGGGAAAGAGGATGCTGCTAACAACTACGCTCGTGGTCACTACACCATTGGCAAGGAAATCATTGACCCTGTACTGGACCGAATCCGCAAGCTGGTGAGAACTTGGGATGGAAGGAAGGGAGCGTTTGAGAGGATGCTAATGGTCAGAAACATTTTTTCCCAGATCCATTTCTTTTTCTTTTCTTTTTTTTTTTTTTTTGCGGTATGCGGGCCTCTCACCTCTGTGGCCTCTCCCGTTGTGGAGCACAGGCTCTGGACCCGCAGGCTCAGCGGCCATGGCTCACGGGCCCAGCCGCTCCACGGCATGTGGGATCTTCCCAGACCGGGGCACGAACCCGTGTCCCCCGCATCGGCAGGCGGACTGTCAACCACTGCGCCACCAGGGAAGCCCTCCCAGATCCATTTCATGGGGTCATCTCTAATTGTACATGTCCCAGAGCATGCTGCAGCTATGGGATGCTCATTAGTCTTTGCCTTGACTCCTGAGAAATTTTAGGCGTTTGTGAAGCCAGAAGATAAGAGTTCCTCAAGCCCCTTCCCTGCCCACATTGCTCTTTACTTTCTTGCCTTTCAGTCTGATCAGTGCACAGGACTTCAGGGCTTCCTGGTGTTCCACAGCTTTGGAGGGGGCACTGGCTCTGGCTTCACCTCACTCCTGATGGAGCGGCTCTCTGTTGACTATGGCAAGAAATCCAAGCTGGAGTTCTCCATCTACCCAGCCCCGCAGGTGTCCACAGCCGTGGTGGAGCCCTATAACTCCATCCTGACCACCCACACCACCCTGGAGCACTCAGACTGTGCCTTCATGGTGGACAACGAAGCCATCTACGACATCTGCCGCCGCAACCTAGACATCGAGCGCCCGACTTACACCAACCTCAACCGCCTCATCAGCCAAATCGTCTCCTCCATCACGGCCTCCCTGCGCTTCGACGGCGCCCTCAACGTGGACCTGACGGAGTTCCAGACCAACCTGGTGCCCTACCCTCGCATCCACTTCCCCCTAGCCACCTATGCGCCAGTCATCTCTGCAGAGAAAGCCTACCACGAGCAGCTGTCGGTGGCAGAGATCACCAATGCCTGCTTCGAGCCTGCCAACCAGATGGTGAAGTGTGATCCCCGTCACGGCAAGTACATGGCCTGCTGCCTGCTGTACCGTGGAGACGTGGTGCCCAAGGATGTCAACGCCGCCATCGCTGCCATCAAGACCAAGCGCAGTATTCAGTTCGTGGACTGGTGCCCCACGGGCTTCAAGGTTGGCATCAACTACCAGCCCCCCACTGTGGTGCCCGGGGGTGATCTGGCCAAGGTGCAGCGTGCCGTGTGCATGCTGAGCAACACGACCGCCATCGCTGAGGCCTGGGCCCGCCTGGACCACAAGTTCGACCTGATGTATGCCAAGAGGGCGTTTGTGCACTGGTACGTGGGCGAGGGCATGGAGGAGGGTGAGTTCTCCGAGGCCCGGGAGGATATGGCTGCCCTGGAGAAGGATTACGAGGAAGTAGGCATCGACTCCTATGAGGACGAGGATGAGGGAGAAGAATAGAACAGCTGCCTGGAGTCCACTCACTATGTTTATTGCAAAATCCTTTCGAAATAAACAGTCTCCTTGCACGGTTTCTTGTCCCCTCTGTGAGTGATTAAGCTTCTGCTGCCTCTTCCCCTTTTGTGCTGCTGCTGTTTCTGCTGCTGCCCTCACTATGTGCTGCTCATGACTTTTTCCCTTCCATGGCTGAAAGTGAGACCTTCAGGCCAGGAAAGAAAGACCTTCCTTGCCAGGCCCAGGAAACATGACCCCGTGTATGATCCTAGAGGAGCCCAGGATAGGGGGGAGATGAGGACCAAGTCTTGGACCTGTCTGTCCAGCCATGAGCTGTTAAAGGATCTGAGGCTTCACTTCTGTTCCAAGTAGGAGTTTAAGCCCAGCAGTTTCTGTATTTGAGAGTTAGACGGCTACCCTATTCTTCCCGCTGCTCTGCATTCACTGACTCTGGAAGCAAGGCTTGGCCCAGGTACCTCTGTGCATTATAAGGGCTTGGGAGTGGGGCTGAGCTGGCCCAGAGTTCCTGGGCATGGAGCCTAGTCATAAGCTTGGGGGATGGGAGGGAACAAGGGCGATCTCCTAGAGTTGTTTGTGTCACTGCACCTCCTAGCAGCTTTGCAAAGCTTACTGTTGGTCTTGCTGCTTTGCTGGGGCCTAGGGTTGTGCCATTAAAAGTCAGGTCATTTCCCCTCTGTTTGTGCTTTCTTTCTGGCCTCAGCCTCTGTGTTAGCTGGTGGGAGCCTCCTGCCAGGGCCCTGGGGAAAACTTCAACTTTGCTAATAGGCACCCTGGGACCCACACTGATGTCAGCAGTTGGGGGTGGGCACAGTGCGGGGAAGAAGCTTCAATCTGAGGAGCAGGAGATGCGAACCCTGCCCTTGCCTCCCCTCCCTGGTGATTCAGGAACACAGTGCCCTTCCCAGGGGAACAGCTTTCAAGCCCAGCAAGGGCAGGGCCCCTGTTTACTCAGCAGAGTAAGCAGGAAGTGGCAGCTGGATACTGCCACACCACTGGCCTCATTAATCATTAACCATGTGTGAACTAGAACCATCTGGGAGAGATTCTGGGCCAAAATGGCTGCCACCTCCACTCCCCTTGCTCCCAGGCAGAGGCTAGAGACCAGTTATGTAGCTGTCCCAAAGACTCCTCAGGTGTCTCCACCCAGAAGCCGTTGCCTGGAAAACCAGCCGGGCTGCTCTGACTAAGCTACCCAGCCCTGGGAATGAAGAAATGAAAGTACGAATTGAGGGTGCTTAAGGCGGCCCTGGTCACAGTTCTTGGCATAGAAGCCAGCTCAAACCAGAGCATCTTGAAGTTTCTGAATAAGACAAGCTAGGAGAAGTACTGCCCACCACCAACCAGCCAGATCTAAGGTAGGCACACCTGCCTACGTACGCGGAATGATGAACTCACGCCATTCTTGATGCTACGCCAGTTCCTCTTCTCTCCAGGCTCTCCCTTGGAAATGGCAACCAGACTTTCGGCCCCCTGCACCTCTTCTCTCACTCCAGGCACAATGAAACTAAGATCACACCAAGCTACTTTCACTTTATTCTTCTATTCATACATTTTCCTGCTCCCAGATTTGGAGGCAGATCATGATGTAAGCTCAGCAGTCCTGCTCAGAGCCTTTACCAGATTCTATCAGTTCCCCTTTCCCCGTTCCCCACCCTCACCCACCACTACCCAGTCAGGCCCCCAGTCCAGTTGTTGCTCTAGGGCGTAAGGGAGCAGAATCAGAGACAGAAGACTGAGCTGGCTGTCCCCACCCCCCAGCTGCCCCCAACTACAAGAAAGCTGTCCTGGTTAGAAGGGATGGAGATTCCACTAAGGGGTGGGAGCTTCTTCCCAAGGCACAGGGCCACCTTCTCAACATGGCCACTGGTTTGTTCAGATTTGGGTAGTGTGCTGGCTCTGAGCTGGGGGCTGCAGTGCCTCCAACTGACTCAGGAGGAAAGGAACATGAGGGCGCTGCTGCGGGTCCACAGTCATCATTAAGGTTAGCAGCTGCCGCAAGGCTGAAGAATGCCTGTAGAAGGAGGAGGGCAGGGTGATGAGGGCAGCCATCCCCTGTGCTACAGCTCCAGCCCCGCAAACGGCTGGGAGGAGTCTGAACTGCTTTTGCTGCCCCCTTCATTGCTCACCTGGGGCTCTGCGGGATGCTTAGTTGGTTCTGCACAGCAAGGGCCACACTGTCACCCTTCTGGAACACCATGTCATAAGGGCCTTCCCCAAACATCATGGCATATAGCACACAGCCTAGGGACTAAGCATAACTTGGTTATTCCTTGGAAGGGGACCAGTGTAGATGATATCGCTCCCCTTAATTCTGTAGTGAAAGAAAACTACAATATGCGGACTTCAGTCACATGACACCACCAGGGCCCAGAGAAACTGCGAGTTAGCTGGAGGCCTCTGCACCCTGTGCTTGGACACTGCCTTCAGCCCTGACAGTTAGCTGTACTCACCCTGTTCAAAGGGCGAGATTATACCACTTCCTGAGCAACTGAGTACAGTGTCAGTGACAGTTTCCAGGAAGAGAGTCGAGGGCGGATGAGGACATACGTGGTTCCTGGGGCCCCATGCGCTAGAAACCAAAGACCTGTTCTACTCCACAGTAGGTACAGAGCAGCACTCCTCCCCACCCAGATTCCCACCCACATCCTCCTCACCCAGACATCAGTCCGCTCATCGATGACACAGTGGCTCTGCACGGAAAAGAGCTCCGGGGCCCGGTAGGAGATGGTGCACCGCTGGGCTGCCCAGTCCTGGAACAGTGGCCCCAGAGCTCAAAAGTGGGGCACAGGTCATGGTCATGTGACCAAATTGGGGCACGCACCAGAAGGGGTTGAGGATGGGGAACAGGTAGGCAAAGGAACCTAGAGACTCTTACCTGGAGGGTCAGAGCCTGGCGGGAGCCCTCCACGTGGATGCATGCTTGACTCATGGAACCCAAGTCCATTAAAACTGGCTGCCCCTCATCTCCAAGCAAGATATTGGTGGGTTTCAGGTCCCTGCAGGAAAGTGGAAATGAACCATGAGCGTCCTTGGACAGGAAGGCTGGAATCCTGGGCAGGGGGGGTGGGGCGCAAAAGAATCATGGGGGCTGTTCTTTGGGAGGAGAGCAGAGACCTCTCATTTCTCTTGATGAGGCTCTTCCCTTCTGCCCAGCAGGTACACAGGAGCCTCCCACTGACCTGTGGGCATAACCCTTGGCATGAATAGCCTCCAGTCCTCTGCAGATACTCAGCAGCAGCTGAAGGATTTGCTCTTCAGTCAAGAAGTTGCCTTTGTCCTTCAGCTGTTCTATCTCGTCCCATAGCGTACCTCTCTGCAAAACAAGTTTCCCCACAGTTGATGTTTTTTTAGCCTCTGCTCCTTGAGCCTGAGTCCTTCCCCATGACAAAGCCTATCAACCATCTCACCACACACCCCACAGCCCCATCTGGGTTCCTTAAACCCCAAATCTGAAGTAGTCAAACCAGAACATGTTCTCTGCTTCCCAACGTGCTTGACCGCTCACACAGCCCTTGGCAGGTGGCTCTGTTGCAACCCCCTCCACAGCCAGGAGACTTTCTGACCTTGAAGAAGGGTAGCAGCAGCCAGGCCTCATGTTTAGTGCCTCGCTCCCTCAGACAATAAGCCACAAGGCGAAGGATGTTGGGGTGATGGAAGAGGCGATGCATGTCTGCTTCTCGTTGTGCCTCCTCCCGGTCCTGCTGCTCATGACACAGGATTCGCTTCAGGGCGTAGAACTGTCCATCATGTAACCCCTCCACTAGGTCCACATAGCTGAACCCACTGTGGGCCAAAGGGGTCAGTGAAGGACCACGGTCATTTCCCACACTGCTTGGACCCAGAGGAATTCCCTGGGGAGAAGGGTGGGGCGGGGTGGTGTCTTTCCCATTTAGTAGCAACCCTCCCAAGGTGTGACTCTAAAAAGAAGTCTGAAGATTATTACACTTTGAGCTCAAGACCAGGGACAGAGTCACCTTTTAGGTGCTATGATCTTTTTTTTTTTTTTTTTTTGCGGTACGCGGGCCTCTCACTGTTGTGGCCTCTCTGTTGAGGAGCACAGGCTCCGGATGCACAGGCTCAGCGGCCATGGCTCACGGGCCTAGCCGCTCTGTGGCATGTGGGATCTTCCCGGACCGGGGCACAAACCCGTGTCCCCTGCAGCGGCAGGCGGACTCTCAACCACTGCGCCACCAGGGAAGCCCCTAGTGCTATGATCTTAATGCAGGGCTCTGCACATGACAGATGCTCCATAAATATTAAATAAATAACAGTCAACATTTATCAAGTGCTATGAACCAGGCCGTAGGGGAGACATTTGATACGCAGTATCTGGTTTAGTCCTCACAGCCCTACAAGTAAAGCATAATTAGCTCCAAAAGGCAGATGAAACTATGGCTTATCAAGGCCATACATGGTGAATCTAGGAAGCCTGGCTCCACAATCCACTTTCTTGACCACCACAGTAGCTGGGCTCTGTCAGGTGAATCAGAGGCTAGGCATAAAACTTTTGTGCCCCAGTCATGTGCAGACTGCTGTCCTTCAAACACCATAACCCTAGGGACTAGTCAAATGATTTCCAAACACTCACCCCTCCCCCAGTTTCTGGATGAAGAGGTAGCGCTTATTGTCAATGATGACAGTTCCCCGAGAGCAGACACAAAGCGCGTGGCCCATAGTGTCTCAGTCATCCTCCTCAAGGACGGTCTGGGGCTGCCAAAGGGTTCGTCCAGGTTGAGGGGTCTCTTTCAGGCAAGTCGCTGGGGGTCCAGCGGATCATGCTGGAAGGAAAAGAACGGCAGGGTCGCTGGCCGGGCACAATCCAGAAGACCCCTAAAGTGGCAACATGGAGCGCTCAGGGCCACATCTCGGAACCTAGAAAAAACGGGCCCTGGCAACGCCGGCTCCAAGAAGGCTGGGGTCAGGTGCCTAAAAGCCTCAGGCCCCGCGGCGACTCCCAGGCCACTTCCTCCAACCCCCGCCCACCTTTAGGCGGCTCCCACTCCCACGCCCGTTGGGCTGCAAAGGCAGGTCATGGGGGGGTTCCGGGGGGGGGGAGGT